TTCAAAAGCAAATTGGACTCAAAAGGAAATGTTGAACGAAAGAAGGCGAGATTGGTTGCAAAAGGATTCGCTCAACGAGAGAGCATTGATTATAATGAAATTTTTTCACCAGTTTCGTCCAAAGATTCTTTTCAATTTATCTTGGCACTTGTGGACATTATAATTTGGAGTTTCATCAGATGGATGTTAAAACGGCTTTTCTGAATGGAGATCTTTCGGAAAGGGTTTACATGAGACAACTTGAAGGCTTTGTTGTGAATGGAAAAGAAAATTTGGTATGCAAGTTGAATAAATCCTTATATGGTCTCAAGCAAGCATCTCGGAATGGTATTTGAAGTTTGTTGGGGTTGTGATTTCTCTTGGTTTTGTTGAAAATACAGTTGATCCATGTATTTATCTAAAAATCAGTGGGAGAAATTTTATTTATCTTGTCCTATATGTTGATGATATTTTACTTTCTAGCAGTGGCTTGGGGTTACTTGATGGGACAAAGAAAATGTTATCTGCTAATTTGAAATGAAAGCTCTTGGAGAAGCTACTTATGTGCTTGACATTGAAATACATCGTGACAGAAGTCGTGGCGTGTTGGGACTTTCTCAGAAGACTTATATACGACGTATTCTGGAAAGGTTCAATATGCAAAAAATTTCACCTGATGATGTACCTATCATAAAAGGGGATAAGTTTAACAAAACTCAATGTCCAAGGAATGAGTTAGAAAGAGAATCTATGAAGATGATTCCATATGCTAGTGTTGTGGGGAGTTTGATGTATGCTCAAGTTTGCACTAGACTGGATATAGCTTATGTAGTCAGTGTTCCCAGTAGGTTTCAGTTGAATCCAGGGCAAGAATATTGGAAAGCGGCTAAGAAAGTTATGAGATACTTAAAGAAAACTGAAAGTTACGTGCTCACTTTCCAGCGTTCAAATCACCTTGAGGTGGTAGGCTCAGACATAGATTTTGCTGGATGTCAAGATGATTTGAAATCAACCTCAGGTTATATTTTCATGTTAGCTAGTGGTGCTATCTCGTGGAAAAGTGTTAAGCAGACTCTGGTGGCATCTTCTACTATGCAAACTGAATTTGTGGCATGTTATGAAGTTACAATTCAAGCTGTTTGGTTGAGAAATTTTATTTCGGGGCTGAAAATTGTTGACTCCATCTCGAGGCCAATCATTATTTATTGTGATAACAACGCAACAGTGTTCTTTTCAAGAAACAATAAAAAGTTCTAATAGATCAAAACACATTGACATCAAATATTTGGTGGTTAGAGATAGAGTCAAGGAATGGCAGACTAAAATAGAGCATATTAATGCAGAGGCAATGATTGTAGATCCTTTGACTAAGGGACTTGCTCCTAAAGTTTTTAAGACATATGTGACTAATATGGGTATTGTGGAAACCTTTGATTTTTTGGTTAGTGAGAGTTATTTATGTAAGATAACCCATATATTTTTCGGATACATCCCCTTCCAATAATAAAATATATTTTCCCATATCCATAAATTATTTTGAGCATGCATTTGACTTATGTCTTTTATTATGATATTATTTTGATCTCGAAATATCACAATTAAAGACATAAGATGAGTCTCTTTTAGAGACATGTGACTTTATTTTGATTAGAAGCATTTTGAGGACCGATATGAATTAGCACAGTTTTTTTATCACATTTGGTGTTAAATTCATATTGCATACTACCACATTAGATGGAGGATGAGGATCCATGTCGATAAGAATGTTGGCATTTGTAGCCGTGGAGTGGTCTTACATCGTTTGATTGGTGTAATGACGTCCATGTTCGATATTAACAAGCTCAGTTTTTTATCACATTTGGTGCTAAGTTCATACTGCATATTACCTCATTGGTTGAGGATGGGGATCCATGTCGATAAGGATGTTGGCATTTGTAGCTGTTGAGTGGTCTTACATCGTTTGATTGGTGTAATGACTTCCATGTTCGATGTTGACGTTCTTATTGGATGGGATCATGTTGTGTAAGGTGTTATCATTGCAACTATACTTGTGTGACCACCTATGTAGTCTGACCCCGGATGTTAAAAGTTATGTTCTATATCAATCAAATGTTTTGCCCAAGTAGGAGAATGTTAGAATAATTCTATTATGTGAGCTTCCATTTGATTGTGAATTTTACGGGTTAGATTATGGTTTGCAATGATATTATGATTAGGCCCAATATGTTAGTGATCACTTAGGGCGTTGTACACCTTACATGCTTTATTATTTATAATGTGGTAATTTTAAGTATGTGTGCCGGAATGTTGTAAACCCTAATTAGGGTTAAAGTCGGTAATGGGCCAACTTTATAATTTTTTATATAATGGCTAGGTGTCCTCTCCTCTTTTTATGGTTTTGGCTTGCCCCATTGACTGTCGATTATTTTTTGAGGAGCAATGAGAGAAAGATCTAACTGGTAATATTCATACATAAAAATGTCTTCCGCATGCCAATGCAACAAAATTATGATTTCGCGACAACAAAATGTTATCGCAAAAATTGATATTTCGTTGCAAAAGTAATTTAGCGACGACAATAGATTTGTTGCAGGTATTGTCACGCTATATGAGGCACGGAATACGTTATGCGATGACTTTTGGCCATTTATCGTGTTAACAAAATCGCGATACTATTTGTTCGACGCGAAAAATACGGAATAGCAGCACAATATTTGTACCTGTAATATCGTCTCAATATATATNTGGTGAAAATATCAGCCAATTGCTCGCTACTATGAATGAATGGAGTGCAAATAACCTTGGCTTGGACTTGTTTACGTATAAAATAACAGTCAACTTCAATGTGTTTTGTCCGCTCGTGAAAAACTGGATTGGAAGCAATATGTATAGCAGATTGATTATCAAAAAACATCTGGAAGGGTTGTGACGAACCAAATTCCAAATCCTTCAGCAAGGAGCGAAGCTTAATAATTTCACTGGCAGTAGAAGCCATTGCCCGATATTCGGCTTCAGCACTAGAGCGTGCAACAACGTTTTGCTTCTTACTCCTCCATGTCACCAAATTTTTCGCCAATAAAAATGCAATATCCAGTGGTAGATCTTCTATCAACAACACTACCAGTCCAATCTATAAGCAGAAATAAGAGAATGACCTTTTTTACGCATCCATATACCTCTTCCAAGTGACCCCTAAAGACAGTGCAAAATCCAATTAACGGCATCCATATGTGCAACTCGTGGAGAATGCATAAAGCGGCTAACAAGGCTAACAACATATGAGATATCAAGTCGAGTAATTGTGAGGTAAATTAGTCTGCCCACCAATCTTTGGAATTGACCCACATCAGATAATAGATCGATATCAAGTGTTAATTTGGAATTACACCTTATAGGCGTCTGAGTTGGCTTAGCACCTAATTTTCCAGTATCTTCTAACAAATCCAATACGTATTTTCTTTCTTTTAAAAATATGCCCTTTTTTTAATACACAATTTCTAATCCGAGAAAATACTTCAAAATTCTCAAATCCTTCATAGAAAACTGTGTATGAATAATATTTTTGAGCCTTGATATTTCAGCAAGATCATCACTGGTAATAATGATGTTATCAACATAGATCAAAACAATAACAGTATCTTTCATACCTAAGATTGATTATCACAAAACATCTGGAAGGGTTGTGACGAACCAAATTACAAATCCTTCAGCAAAGAGCGAAGCCTAATAATTTCACTGGCAGTAGAAGCAATTGCCTGATATTCGGCTTCAGCACTAGAGCGTGCAACAACGTTCTGCTTCTTACTCCTCCATGTCACCAAATTTTCGCCAATAAAAATGCAATATCCAGTGGTAGATCTTCTATCAACAACACTACCAGTCCAATCTATAAGCAGAAATAAGAGAATGACCTTTTTTCCGCATCCATATACCTCTTCTAGGTGACCCCTAAAGACAATGCAAAATCCAATTAACGGCATCCATATGTGCAACTCATGGAGAATGCATAAAGCGGCTAACAAGGCTAACAAAATATGAGATATCAAGTCGAGTAATTGTGAGGTAAATTAGTCTGCCCACCAATCTTTGGAATTGACCCACATCAGATAATAGATCGATATCAAGTGTTAATTTGGAATTATACCTTATAGGCGTCTGAGCTGGCTTAGCACCTAATTTTCCAGTATCTTCTAACAAATCCAATACGTATTTTCTTTCTTTTAAAAATATGCCCTTTTTTTAATACACAATTTCTAATCCGAGAAAATACTTCAAAATTCTCAAATCCTTAATAGAAAACTGTGTATGAATAATATTTTTGAGCCTTGATATTTCAGCAAGATCATCACTGGTAATAATGATGTTATCAGCATAGATCGAAACAATAACAGTATCTTTCATACCTTTTTTCATGAACAAGGAAGAAGCAGCATTACTTAATCTTTAAACAATTCTTGACAAGAACATGACCGAGGCATACCATGCACGAGGTGATTGTTTAAGACCATATATGGATTATCTTAATCTGTATGATAGATCACTACGCCCCTCCAGCCGATGCCCTGGAGGTATACTCGTACAAATTTTTTCAAGATTTTCTTAATCTGCATGTTAGATCACTACATCCCTCCAGCCGATGACCTGGAGGTATACTTATATAAACTTCTTCATCAAAATCGCCATGTAAAAAAGCATTTTTCACATCCATGTGAAATAATTTCCAATCTTGATTGACAGCTAGAGATAAAATAACACGAAACGTGTTCGTTTTGGCTACAGGAGCAAATGTCTCATTGTAATCAACCCCATAAGTTTGGGTAAAGCCTTTTGCAACAAGGCGTGCTTTATGTCATTCAATAGATCCATCACTTCGAAACTTAGTTTTATAAACCCAATGACACCCAATTGTCTTCTTCCCTGGAGGAAGTTTTACAATGGATCAAGTTTTGTTGTCATCAAGGGTTTGTAACTCTTCCTGCATTGCTCGTCTCCAAATAGGACTAGAATTTGCTTCTCTAAAATTATTCGGCTCTTGAGTTGAAGACAACGAAGTTATAAAGGCTGAATAGAGACAAGGATACATTGAAGTATGATAAATGCGACTGTATAGGATGACTGACAGTTTCATATGTAACAAATTCCTTTAATTTTTCTGGAGCCTTTGATGTTCGATTTGACCTTATAAGAATCTTTTCGGAAGTATGTGGTACAACACTGACATATTCTGGAACATCATGAGCAATTGGCGATAAAGGACTTATGTTGTCCCCATTGTTTTCATCCTGTTCGATTTCTCCTGTACCTCCAGTCTGTCCTGTGGTTTCAATTTCGCCTGTACTTACAATATCAGAAGAAGATGTCCATATAGTGGGAAGTGGAAATAGATCGGTCAAATTCTCCCCCTGAGATAAAATCTTGTTCGAACTATGAGCGAAAATATGGTTCATTCTCAGCAAATCTCACATCTCGTGATACAAATAGCTTCTGGGACTGAAGATCATAGCATGTATATCCCTTTTTTGTCGAAGAATATCCTAAGAAGACGCACCGGATAGAACGAAGATCAAATTTATCATAATGCAAGCTTTGGCGGTGCACATAACAAACACAATCAAATACTCGAAGGTGAGACACATCAGATTTTCTCCCTTTTAAGACTTCCAATGGTGATTGAAAATGGATTACACTACTTGGAAGCCTACTTATCAAGTACACAACTCTTAAAACTCCATGTGACCAAAATTTCTTCGCAATATTCATTTGAAGCATGAGAGCTCTTGTAGTCTCCAAAATATGTCGATTTTTCCTTTCGGCTACTCCATTTTGTTGGGGTGTACCAACACAACTAGTATGATGTATAATTCCTTCATTGTGAAGAAAGGTAGGAAGGGGACCCTTGGCAAATTCGGTCCCATTATCCGAACGAAATATCTTTATTTTGCTATCAAATTGAGTGGCCACCATGCTATGAAAATCCTTGAAAACAGGGTAAACTTCATTATTAGATTTCAATAAATAGATCCAAGTAGCACGAGAATAATCATCAATAAACAACACAAAATATTTAAAACCTTCATATGAATCAATTCGACATGGACCCCATAAATCAGAATGGATTAACTAAAAAAGTTTAACAGACATAGATGAAGAATTATTAAATGGTAGACGAACTTGTTTGGAAAATTGACAAACATCACAAACGTGTGTCCAAAAAAACATAGATGGAAATAAAAAAAGATAATACCACTACACCAAAAAATGGCTTTTGCAGCTGCCAAAAAACGCTGCAAAAGACATTTTGCAGCATTTTTCCAAGTGTTGCGAAGGTCGGTGTTGCCGTTGAGGGAAGAGTTTTAGCAGCGTTTATTCACCATTGCGAAAAACTCTTTTGCACCGTTTTTTAAACGTTGCGGTAGACCCTTTTGCAGCGTCTTTTAAACGTTGCAAAAAACTCTTTTGCAGCGTTTTTTAAACGTTGCGAAACTCTTTTGCAGCGTTTTTTAAACATTGCGATTGACTCTTTTGCAGCGTTTTTTCAAAGTTGTGGTAGATTTTTTTTTTTTTTTTTTTTTACAGTAATAGTAATTGAGTAATTAACCCACAAAATTAAAAATAATACCTTGTGAACACATTTTGGAATTGCATAAAAATTAATAATTTCATTATAAATTTTTGAATCAATACAAAATTTGAATGTGATACAACATAACCTATCTAAAAAGGAGTAAGGTAAACAATACAATTGTTTCATCCATGTTCCCTGAAGCAAGTTACCCTCTCTCTCATTATTTCTTTGTTCAATTCTTTTAGGGCATAAGAAGAACTTGAGCCTACTCCAGGGGTTCCTATCCCACCCAAGCTATGAACATACTTCTGAAGCGTAGCAGCGCCCATTAGCCTAAAAAAGTTATCAACATTTCAAAATCCAAAAAGACGGAATTACTGAATAATAACACATTATTGCATCTATATCATATGCCTCTACTGCTTCCTCCTCAGTAGCTACCATTAAAATGAAATAACATCAGTAAATATGGACCATGCATGATACTCATCCAAAGACCAAAGAATAAGGCTTCAACTTGAAATTTCGAACTAAAGGGACTACTTTTATACCAAATGTTCCAAGGTAGAGATCTTTATTCCCAGCAACACGACCAATTCTTGCTTGCCATCGACCTTGCTGATGATGCCTGCATAAATTGAGCTATTAATTCATGAGGACAAATGAATCTTTGATAGTTCTTGCTAAAAATATAAAATGTTCCTTCTAAGATCTATGACAAAGATTATATAAAAAAATTGTTTTCACACCTCGTAACATCCTTGTAAATTGATGCTCCCCTTGAGAAACCGCTACTTTTCCTGAAAATATCATTGATATTCAGTCCAGTTCAATGAGAAAGAGACATAATAGCTAAGCAAAATAAGTTCAGCTATTCCACGATATTTCAGGCAGTTGGTCTGCAAAATTAACGAGGGACAGTATGCAAACCTTCTTAGCGAGGCAATGAACTCTTGTTTTGTTACGTGCTTCATCTCCCCCAACTCTTTGGTGTAATTGGCGACAGAAATGAATTACTAATTCATCATACATCTTCAAGAGACGAGAATGCAAATACCGTGCTTTCTATCTCCCACCCGTAAGTGATACATGTTCATCCGCCACCCCAAAAGTGTAACTTTTTTTATTTTTACAGTGCATAGTCCTTTTGACAATCACTTCAAAGTTTCAACAACAATTATTATAATCAAATGAAATCTAGTATTTTTAGTCACAAGTAAAGCTGCCCACCTATTATAGTCAAGATAACAATAAACGAAGATGATCCTCAAGAAAAAAATCACCAAAATTACACGAAAAGACAAACAATGATGTTGAATTCGAAGCTGGTGTCCTGGACGTGCTCGTGGTTCTACTGGAAGAACCTACAAAATGAATTTAAGTAGAGTTCAAGTAGCAAGCATATATAGAGTGCAAAACATTATGTAGCAATAGTTATTTGCCAATTTGGGAAGCATAACCATCAGAGAAGCTGAAATTAGACCTGAATTCTGTGTATGTGAATTACTATTTGTTGCAGAACTTGACGAAGATGTTGCTGATGGTCTTGCTTGCTGAGATGTACTACCAGTAGTCATTGACTCAACAATCAGATTGGGATCATGCATAGTAAAATACATCAAAATAATAATCTCTCAAGGAAGAGCCTACAGGAGAAACATGTGTGAAAAAAAATTCTTTTAATGAATGTATAAACTCATGAAAGGAAAAGGGATAAGCCCATATACAAAAATATGGAAAGCCAAAGACCCACAAAAGTTAATTTTTATGGCGAATCATTCTCATTCCAATCCATCCACAAATCTACAAATATATGTCTCGATAGTCATGATTACAAATATATATGGATAGAGAGAAATGGCTTTAATCAGTTCAGAAACTGTCATCAAAACTACGAACTTGAATAATACCAGAGAAGATAAAATTATAAACTGACACAAAACCTAATTCAGCCACATCTTGAGCATTTTGATTTTGACCCCCTGAGGTTATTAAGCCCATGTTTGAATCCCATTCTATAAAAAATTCATTTTTTTTAAACTCAATTTCAATCATACATTTTTCCAATAAAATAATATTACACGTAAGACCAACATTTTTCACTACTTTTTAATCACACTTTCCCCAAATAATTCACTATTACAAAACCTATTTTTCCAACAAAATATAGCTCAAACAAATCCTAAATTAACCATAAGGAACCAGAAGCAACAAGAAATGTATAGTATCATGAGAAAAAAAATGACAAACGCCCCATTAGTAAAGGATAGTCTTAAATCTTAAATCATCATTTGAAGAACTCCTGCAGTCGAAAATTTGAAGAACTCCAGCAAATAGAGAAAATTTTTACCAATTAAAATGATGAATCCGACCAATAGAATATGATTTTCACTATAACAAGCCTTAGGACATCAACAATGGAAATGAAAAATGAAACAAGATAATTCACCTTTTCTCTAGCTCCTCCTAGCTGCCCAACTCCCCGCAACACTTGGAGGCCTCAATGGCGGAGCCAACCTCTTGGAGCGGGGGATCCCAGAATTGAAGATATGTACTGCCCCCGAAATTTTTTTTGGATACCTTATTAACAAAAAGACCAATTAACATATAAAATAAAGTACTTCTTGAGTACCAATCTTTAATTTGCAAAGAGGCAATGATAAGGAATTATTTGGCAACAACCTCAAAATCACAACCCCTGCTCGCTCTCAAATTTCAACGATTCTGGTGGCGAGGCCGACCCCTGCTCTCAAGTTTCTGGCCACCACAAAAAAATCACAAAAATCGTCAAACATTTAATTGTAGCATGTGATAACTTAACAAGAGCGAGAGGAAAAACTTACTTCATGCTGTGCTGAAACGGTTTCGTGAGATGGAATGGACTATAGGTTGGGACGCAAAGAGGTTTCTGTGGGATTCAGGAGCGGAGGGGGGGTCCTGGGGGGAACGTAAAAAGGTTTCGGAGTTGACTCTAGTGAAGAACAGGGGCAGAGGGGGAGGGACTTGGAATTGGGAATAGCTTTCCAGCTTGTATGTCTCTTTTACCAAAAATCGATGCCCTTTTCGGCTCCAAATCAGCAGAGGCTATTCGAACTGGAGCGAAGGGAATAGAAGCAGGATAGAGGTAGGGGCGGAGCAGTGGCGACTGCGAAGTAGGGTTGAAATGTGGAAGGAAGATGGGAATTGGGGAAAAATTGAGCAAATGGGCGAACTGCGGAGTAGGGACTCTAGGGTTGAAGTTGAAGACATTTTTATTTCCATTTCAATTACTTTTTTCGCAACGTTTAAAATGCCAAAACGTTGCAATAAGTGATATTTCGCAACGTTTTTTAAACGTTGCAAAAAGTCTCAAGTTGAAGACATTTTTATTTCCATTTCAATTACTTTTTTCGCAACGTTTTTTAAACGTTGCAAAAAGTGAGATTTTTTGCAACGTTTCAAAAACATTGTGAAAATGTTGCGAAAAGTCACTTTTTGCAACGTTTATTTAAAAAATGTTGCCATATACCCCTTTAACAACATTCACTCATCCAAACGTTGCAATAGACCCCATTTAGCAACATTTAATGAATGAATGTTGTCTTTTAAATGTTGCAAAAACCCATTTTTCTTGTAGTATACACAACTAGAAGGATGCCCAAATCTTTGATGTACGATATGATTTTCTAGCATAGAACTACTAAGAGAAGTGACACCGAATTGTTTGAAGAGATAAAGTCCATGTGAGTAGACACCTTCACCAATCTTCTTCCCGGAAGTTCGATCCTAAAACACAACATCATTAGGAGAAAAAATAACATTGCAATTGAAGGAGTTGGTTATTTTTCCGACAAAAAGAAGTTGAGTTGGAAACGAAGGAATAACAAATGCATCTACACTAGGAAGACCAGGAAAAAGATTAATTTTTCCATACCCACAAACAGGAACTGAGGTACCATTAGCAACTGAAACAGCATATTTTGATGAAGTTTTTGAGAAATCACTTAAAGATGCTGTATCATTTGCCATATGATCAGTGGCACCCGAGTCAATAATCTAAGTATTCAAATGTTTAGATGTACATGAAGAGAAGTAAGTTTCGAGGTTACCAGAGACATGAGTACTGGTAGAAGAAGTAGATTCTTTCGGACTAGGATGGCTAGGATGACCAAGTTGTTGGAGCATTTGAGTCAATTGATTCAGTAAGATGGTAGTGGCTTAAGATGAGGATGAAGGTCCCAACAACGGTTCTTAGAGTGTCCTAGCATGTGACAGTGATCACATTTTGGAGCTTCCCGTCTTCCCTTGTTTTGAAAGCTTTTCCTTTTCTCATCTATTTTTACAATAAGAGCAGTCGACTCAGATATATGCTTCGGTTCAAAATTCATAGTCTTTTTTCGAGTTTCTTCTTGCTGCACAGTTGCACACACACTAGAGAAGGTTGGCAGGGTAGAACTCATAAGAATATGACTCTTAAAATTCTCATACTCCGGCTACAAACTACTCAGAAAAGAAAATATCTTATCTTCTTCAACTTTTTTCAACAAAATTTTTGCATCGGTTGTATGCGGGCAATACATGCTCAAGTCATCCCACTTCTTCTTAAGATAACCAAGATGTTCAATAAATGTCTTATCCCCTTGCTCAACAGCAGCAATTTCTCGTTTCAACTCAAAGATTCTAGCAGCGTTGTCTTGATTTTCGTAAAGCTATTCAACTGAATTCCACAATTCTTTCGCCGAATCTAAAAAGGCAAAGATTTCAGCAATATGTGCTTCTATTGAATTTCGAAGCCAAGACCTAACGAGTTGATCATTCGAAATCCACCCTTCGTACTATGGATCTGCAGAATCTGGACAAGTAAAAGTGCCGTTGATAAAACTCAACTTTTTCTTTACACCAAGAGATAACGTCACTGCTCTTGATCACGGTATGTAATTTATACCATTCAAGAGAACGGTAGATAACTTCCATCCAGGATTAAAATCATTCTCCATCACTATAGATGGATTAATGACTTTCTCAGTCATTGTAAATGCAGAGACAAATTGAAAAGAAACTTCGAACTGCAAAATAATTGAAAAAACACGAACAGCTGACGTTGAAGATGATTTTGACCCACCGGACGAAAATAGCCCGAAAGGCCAACCCTTAACAAATTCTTGTTCCTTTTTCAGTTCATGCCAAGTGTACGACATTCTTTACAATTTGTCACTAACAACACACCATTCAACAATTTAAAAAATTTAACAATTTTCCCTCTTATCCTTTTCTTAACAAAACACATTGTAGATAGCATTATTGTTTTCACTTTACCCATATTCATAGCCATCGGAAAATCTCAACACAGAGAGGGTTTTGTGATTTGCCTTTGTGATATGGGGTACGAGTCCGATTGCCGTATTGAAGGGGTGATCTTGGGGGTGGACGGCGGCACCACCTCCACCGTCTGTGTGTGCATGCCGCTCCTCCTCTTCTCTGATCACAGCCATCTTCCCGATCCTCTCCCTATTCTCGGCCGTGCCGTTGCTGGTTGCTCCAATTACAATAGCGTCGGAGGTATCTATAATAAATTGAACTAATTAAACGTTTCAATTACTATGGTGTAGACCACAAAATGTTTGGAAAATATTGAATGCGGTTTTCTAATTAAAATTGATTGTACGAGGTGACTAATTCATCAATATGTTTTATATTTATGAACGACGGTTACAGAAAATGTAGCCAGAGAAACATTGGAACAAGTTATGGCTGAAGCTCTTTCAAAAGCTTGCATGAACCATTCAGTTGTTCGGGCGGTTTGTTTAGGCATTTCTGGTGTCAATCATCCAACGGATCAGGAAATGATCTTGAATTGGATAAGGTGCTGTGTGGTTGTGTAAATTTTACTAATCTCATTTTAATACTGTTTCTGTTGTTAAACATGTTTATGGATAGATAGTCAAACTGGTGGATTAAAATCCTTTATACTTGAAAACTTTTTACTTGTTACTAGCTGCCACTTTTTCTTAAAATTGATCGGATTATGTTTATAATTTTTGTCACTTATGCTATAGATTGACCAGAAACTAAAGCTATTTTAGTTTATAACTGGCTCATCATGTTCTAGGAGAAATGCAAATAATAAATCTGGCAGTTGTATCCTATAATGATGTAAACAATCTATCAACAAAGCCATAGATCACTGAAGGTTGAAAATTCCAAAATTTGTAGAAAGAAAGAGGTGATGGGAATTTTAAATGGGAGCGGATTGCATAGCCTAGAATACAGGCTAATATATCTGTGGATGTTCTTAGAATTAGACCAGCAGCACTCTGGTGTTGTTTTACAACAATCTCAGTAATTCTGAAGTATTGGATAAAACTTATGTATCACATATTGTTGCATTCTAGGGGTTAGACAGAATTCTAAAATAGAAAATTGTAGTACTGCATGTGTAATGAATGCTTGTGTGCATGAAATGTTTATAGATAGACACTGATAAAGTTGTTAGTTGTCTAGATATTCCGTGTGCAAGCTCTGAAGTGGGTTTTTAACTGTCTATAGTGTAATACAGGCACATATTCCCAAGTCATGTAAAGATTCATGTCGAGAATGATGCAGTGGCAGCCCTTGCAAGTGGGACCATGGGGAAACTTCATGGCTGTGTTCTGATTGCGGGTACAGGGTGCATATCTTATGGTTTTAGAGATGATGGAAAAAAAGCTCGTGCTGCTGGTGCAGGACCTGTACTAGGTGACTGGGGCAGGTAAAGTTGGCATTTGTCAGTACATATACAGAAAGATTGACTTAGGTGGTAATTCTCTTCTAGTCAACATTTATTGAAGATTTTGTTATGCAACATGAATGAAATGAAATAATATAAACATAGTAACCATAATAGATAACTACGACTTATTGATGAGCACTCTAGTTGTTGATAATTGATGGTTCTTTAGTGATTCCATTACAATTTTAGTAACTTCATGAAATCTGTTGTCTTGGATAGGAATATTCTGTTATCTTCCTTAGACAGCTCATTTTCTGAGCAATATGCATAGAGAGATGTACTAGCATGTATTTTACAAAGGTATTTCACAACAGATTTATATATGCTAAATGTTCAAACTGTGTACTGCTGAAAATTCACAATTTCGGTTGTTGGAGGTGGAGGTTATATAGTTTCGTGCAAGAAAAATGAATTAAATGTTCAGACTGAGTACTGTTTATCTATAATTATCATTTTAATGTTTAAAACAGCAGCACTAGAAAATTACTTCTTTTGTTATCTATTTAAAGCTAAAGTTTAAGCAACAAATTCGCGAAGCATTATTTTTATATTTTTTTAATTGTTATTCGAAAATTGAAGACATCATTGTTTCCTACCAGAATAAGCCCCCGTTTGGTGCACATTTTGAAGGTAAGAATGCATTTTTACTGTTGATGTGATGGTAAATATGTGGTTGAAAAAGAACGAAAAGTTATTGATGTGATGGAAAATATTATTTTATTGAAGAATGTGTGATTGAAAATGAGTAGAAAAATGAAAATGAAAAAAATAATGTGGACCAAACAGGGCCTAAATTATAATTCCAAATCTTAGCAGTGGAATACAAACATGTAGTGATAAAGTGTTAGTAGCAATGTAGCACAAATTATAGCTGGCTTCCACCATTGGAGGCTGGATGCCCAAATCTTCGTCATATCATTCTTGCATTTACAACAAAAGCATGTGATTAATGTTTTTCCATTCTTTGATTATTTACGTATTTCCTGAGCTAGTCTCCCCTCATGAGGCAGCCTTCTAAATCCTAGATGTTACTTGGTCCTATTCTTTCCATACAATCGACTTTGTTGCTCCTTCCAACTTTGTTCATTCTTGGTTGAGAAAAACAATACATTGTAAAAAAGAAAGCAAATATAAATCTTTGAGGTATTGTGCTATCTTGTTGTAAAAGTTGTAAGGAAAGTAGAGGAAGGAAATGGCAGGAAAAGAAGTTTTTGTTATTCAGTTGAAAGAATGAATCATTCTATCTAATAACTCTGCTGCACATGTATATATATACAGAGGCTAACAAATCCTAACTAAAAGAATCAAAATGCAATTATATAAATAGCCATATACTAATGTGGTTTAATACTCCCCCTCAAGATGGGAAATGTATATTTAATACACCCATCTTGCTCAATAACAATTTGAATTTTGCTCCTCCTAATGACATGGTTAGCAAATCAGCGACCTGCTCCAGTGAAGATAGATACATCATTTTCACTTCTCGTGCATGAACTATCTCCTACAAGGTGGAAATCAATTTCTCTGTGTTTGGTTCTCTCATGAAATACAGAGTTGCTAGCAATGTGTATGGCTGACTGATTATCGCAAAACAATAAAGTTGCTTTGGTATGCATAACACTTAAATCTGCGAGTAAGTTCTTTAGCTAACTTAACTCACAAACTGCAGCTGCGATGGATCTATATTTTGCCTCAGTTGAAGATCGTGAAACTGTTTGTTGCTTTTTAGACTTTCAGGATACCATTAAACTTCCTAGAAATACGCAATAGCTACTGATGAATCTTCTTGTATCTGAACAAGCGGCTCAATCTGCATAACAAAATTCCTTCAGCTGCAAATCAGACTTCTTGTTAAAGAACAACCCTTGTCCTGGTGTGCCTTTCAAATATCGTAGCACATGATATGTTGTTTTGGTGATTGAAGGAACTAGCTCAGGACTTGCACAACATAAAACAAATCAGGTCTTGTTATTGTCAAGTATAGAATCCTTCCAACCAGTCTTCGATACACACTTAGCTCTGTAATAGTTTCTCCTTCTTCCTTGCTTAATCTCAAGTTGTGTGGTAAAGGACTTTGTGCTGGTTTGGCTCCAGAGGCATCAACATATCCTCGTCTAGTTCACCGTGAAGAAAAGCATTGTTTATATCTATTTGATGAAGATACCATTGCTTGTGAGCTGCAACGGCAAGAAGAGTCTTCACTGTGACTAACTTCACAACAGGAGAAAAGGTTTCTTCATAGTCCAGGCCAACTTGCTGAGTAAAATCTTTGGCTACAAGGCGAGCCATCTTCCTTTCTTCGGTGCCATCTGAATTAAGCTTGACTTTGAAAACCCACTTACAAGCAACAGGCTTCTTATGTGCAGGTAGCCTACTGACAGTCCACGTGTTGTTAAATACAAGAGCATGATACTCAGCCTCCATGGCTTTGCATCAATCTGAATGCTTGGATGCTTCAGCAAATGACTGAGGTTCATAGACAATGGATAAAGCACATGTGTATGTCGTTGAGCAGGAGACAACATGCTATAATCCAGGTAGTCTAAAAGAGGTTACTGCTTGCCAAATGCAGAACCTTTCTCCACAGATTCTGATTGGGGAATAGGCTCCTGAGAAATCAAACTACAATGATAATCCTGTAGATAAAAAAGAGCTCGTTTAGGCCTGGAAGATTTTCGTGTAGATATTACATGTGGTGAAGAAGAGACTGAAGGAGAAAATGTAGGTGAAGATGAAGGGAGATTAGGTGGAGAAACTGCAGTTGCAGGTGGATTAAGATGAGTTCTTGCATTGGGAATATTTGGAGGTGAAGGAAACTGATAATGTGTTGAAATGGAATCTGTAGAAGGAAATGAATTATCTATAAACTAATAAGACTGAATTGGAAAAATGACAGGATCAGATTGTGAAGAAGTTGCAGGCTTAGATGAATGAAGAAAGGTATGGTGATGAAAATGAAATATAGTTTCATGGAAGAGAACATCTCTGGAAACAAAAATTGTGTTGGTTTGAAGGTTATACAATTTGTATGTCTTCATGCCATATGGATAACCAAGGAAAATACAAGGTATAGCCCTTGGATCAAACTTTGTTCGATGTCTTTTCAAAGTGGAGACATAACAGAGACATCAAAAGACCCTAAGATGAGTATAAGATGGTGAGGTGTGATAAACCATTTCATAAGGAGACTTGTTTGCAAGGATGACAGTCGGTGTTCGATTGATAATGTATTGGTAGTTAAAATACAATCTCCTCAAAATTGATGAGGTAAATTTGCCTGAAATTTAATGGCCCTTGCAATGTTGAGTGTGTGTTGATGTTTTCTTTCAACCACACCATTTTGTTGTGGTGTTTCAACACAACTCGACTGGTGTATGATGCCTTTGGAAAGATAGAATTCATTCATGTGAAATTCAGAACCATTATTAGACCTGATGATTTTTACGCTGCATTGAAAGTGTGTTTGGATGAGATTAAAGAAAGGATAATAGATCTGGTTGGAGATTTGTCCCGCATGAGATATGTCCATGTCATTCGGCTAAAATCATCCACAATAGTGAGAAAATATTTAGATCCATCTAAGGAAGGAACAGAATATGGCCCCCAAATGTCACTGGCTCACAGTGGATGAGATCAAAAATTTTAGAAGCCTTTGTGTCACTATTTGGAAAGAGTAGCCTATGTTGCTTGGCCACAGGACAAACATTGCAATGTAAATGCTTATTGACAATGATTATAGGAATAAATTTTTGTAGAAGCAATAACTTGGAAATAGGAATATGCCCTAATCGACAATGCCAAACATCAATATTGGAATTAAGATCAGTATTGCTCATACAGCTACAGGCAGTGTAATCAGATTTATTACAATTCAAACAAAAAGTAGAACTATGATGCTAGGAAAAACTCTAGAATTTATATTGGAATATGGTTTGAGCTAAGAAAATTGATGTGAAAATGGAGCATTGAAACGACGATCAGATTGTTGAAGATAATATAGTCCATTCTCAAGATTTCCTACCTCAATCGTCCTCCATGTTGAAAGATCCTGAATAAAGCAAGAAGGATAGAATGAATATCAAGCAGCAATTATGTTTAAATGTTAGTTTGCTAGCAGATATCAAGTTGAATTTAAAACTTGGCACAACTAACACATTTGATAAAACCAATGTAGCAGACAATTTCACTGTGCCAACATGTGTCACAGCAGTATTGTCACCATTAGGCAGCTTTACTGATGCACTAACAAGAGCAGTCACAGTGGCCGGAGCATTGGTCACACCAAAAGGCATAACAGTGAATTCATAATGTCCATAACGAGTCCTGAAGGCAGTTTTCGGTATGTCACTTACCTTAACCTTCATCTGATGATACCCCGACCTCAAGTCGATTTTGCACCCCTTAACTGATCAAGTAAATCTTCTATTCTTGATAGTCAGATGATTCAACTCCCTATAGTCAATACACATCCACACTCCCATCCTTCTTCACGAAAAGTACTGGAGCGCCCCAAGGAGATACACTCGGTCGAATGAAACCTTTCTCCAACAATTCCTCCAATTGTAACTTCAATTCTTGGAATCCTTTCGGTGCCATCCGGTAAGGGGCCTTAGATACTGGTACAGCTCCGGGAACTAATCAATTGTAAATTCCACTTGCCTGTCTTGTAGAATGCCTGGTAGATCTTCTGGAAATACATCCTCAAAGTCTTGCACAACGTTAATATTATTAACGGTTGTTTCTATATGTTTAGAACCGATGATATTAACTAGGAATCCCTGACACGACTCCTTCTGCAACATCTTCTCCACTTGTAACGCTGACACAAGCCGAGGTAGAGACTTGAACTTTGCTCCGGAGAAACGGAACTCTTCTTCTCCTGGTCTATGAAATAGTACTTGACTACTTCCTTCTCGTGACATCGAATGGTTGCATGATTGAGTCCCAACCAGTCCATGCCCAAGATAACGTCAAAA